TAAGCGACGAAAACCCAATCCCGATGGCAAACACCGGGGGGGGCGGCTTGTGTTACAACGTTGTTGCCAAGCAACGAAAACCCAACCCCGATGGCAAACACCGGGGGGGACATAGCTGTTTAGAAGGGGGGGCAAAACGGGCCAATAAGTCTGTCTGTGACCAGCCTCGATATGATACCCAGCAGATTCCAGCCCATTTCACCATCTCGGCACCGAATTGCAATCTAGGACGTGTTCACAACAAGTAATATTTTGCCCGAGCTGCCCCAACTGCTACCTCTTCAATCCGTTCTCGGTGCGTCGAGATAGTGCAGCGTCGGTACCCAACTTGAAGCAGGGAAGTTGCTGGCCCCTTACAACACCGAGAGGAGGCGTCGTTAGATTTTGAACCAAGACAGATAGCCTCGCACACCACACACCACACACACACAGCCAGACATGGACAAACAGGGAGAGGGAGACACAGACCACAGCGAGGGCGAGACGGCGGGAGAAGGTTGTGCCATACACTGCTGCTGTTAGCTATTGGCGGAGGAAGCGAGAGGAGAGATCAGCATTTGGTTGCAGCAGCAGCAGCGGCCTCTCTCTCGTTCCGCGGAGTGGGGCACATGACACCAACAACACACAGACGCTGCTACGCACCACCATTGGNCTTCAATCCGTTCTCGGTGCGTCGAGATAGTGCAGCGTCGGTACCCAACTTGAAGCAGGGAAGTTGCTGGCCCCTTACAACACCGAGAGGAGGCGTCGTTAGATTTTGAACCAAGACAGATAGCCTCGCACACCACACACCACACACACACAGCCAGACATGGACAAACAGGGAGAGGGAGACACAGACCACAGCGAGGGCGAGACGGCGGGAGAAGGTTGTGCCATACACTGCTGCTGTTAGCTATTGGCGGAGGAAGCGAGAGGAGAGATCAGCATTTGGTTGCAGCAGCAGCAGCGGCCTCTCTCTCGTTCCGCGGAGTGGGGCACATGACACCAACAACACACAGACGCTGCTACGCACCACCATTGGTGCCACCACATGTACTGCTGTACGCCTCTCTACTTTTGTGCGCGAAGGCCTAGTGTGCGACCAGTGCCTCCCGTGCTAGCCTGGTTACCCATCACACGCTCGAACGCTTTTGAGATTTCTCGATCGAAGCTCGAACCACCAAGCGAAGCACAACAGCAGAGACATTTTTTTTTTTAGCTGCTAATTTAGCCATATTTTTTATATACCACACCCCTCCCTCCCCCCCGGAGTACACCTCCCTCCCCCCCCCGGTGTTTGCCATCGGGGTTGGGGTTTCTTCGCTTGGCAACGAAGTTGTGAAATAAGCCCCCTCGGTGTTTGCCATCGGGGTTGGGGTTTCTTCGCTTGGCAACGAAGTTGTGAAATAAGCCCCCTCGGTGTTTGCCATCGGGATTGGGTTTTCGTCGCTTGGCAACGACGTTGTAAAAAAGCCAATTCACTTTGTGAACTCGGTGCAGTCCACCCTGACTCTCGAAATCATGGGTTCGAGTCCGTGTGGAGGTGTCTTTTTTTTCCCAAGGCATGTTTTTTGACACAAGGTATGTGGGCGACTGCGAACGAACGCAATCCAATGTGTATATTCCCGCACAAGCCTACTGCGGGTATTTTTTTCAACCAAAAAAAGCTATTCCACCTCCCGATCTAGTACCATGTTATTGGAAGCTCTTTAAGCAGCAATAGTTCCGACCGCTTCTGTTCTCACAAGGGGATGTGATATCTTGTGCAAACTACGGCTTCTAGCAACAACAGCAGAGGCGTATCCAAGCTTGTCTGGCATATTCGCAAGTATCGTCGTGGTGGCACGTCTGGACAAAGAGTACCGTATGCTCGATTCTTGGGATACTCCGTGATACAGGTTGATAAGGTACAGCAGTATTCATACAGTGGTGGGCCCCCTATAGTGCACTTTGAATAGTGCAACCGCCCGATATAGTGCAGGTAAAATCTCTGCGCACAGACGGCGCCGTCCGCAGATACCCGATATAGTGCAGGTTGGGCAACGCGGTGCCCCGCAATAGTGCAGGTAGAGAAACATTCACACACACACACACACCAAGACCGGCGCCTCAATCTTCCTCCATAACAGGATGGTTCGAGTAGTCCTCAAGACACTGCGCGAGTGCCATATGCCCATCGCCGTTGAGGATTCTTCCCCTTTTACCACAGGCACTGGTAGGGGAAAGGGGCTATACAAGATGGATTTGGTAATCCCCCCAGGATTACACGCAGGAGAGAAGGAAGAGGACCTCTGCACCAAGTCCATTCTGATCGACGTAACAATCGTCAACCCATCCGCAGGTCGAAGCATCGAAAAGTCGATCCTTAAGCCAGGATCCGCCCTCGAAGATCGAGCTGCAAGTAAGGCAAATCACTATGCGGGAACTTTCAACCCGTCTAGATCTACCCTCCTTACTGCTGCTTTTTCAACGAATGGTGGTCTTGGCAAAAAAAAGGCACCAATCGACCCATCGTTGCTATCGCCAACCACTTGCCTCACGAAGCTTTTTGCCGGGGAAATTTTGACGACGACAGGGCCTTAGTTCGCCTGAAAGCTTTTCATACTAACAGGATTCGGAGACGGTTTACCTTCGAGCTAGCTCGTTTTCTGTCGATGCGAACTCGCGATGTGTTCAAACGTCATGGGCTACTGATCGACCAACTTCCACCAGGGCCAATCGGTTGGGATCTCTGCGACAACGATAGTAGTGAGGGTAATTCTTTTGGGAGTGACGAAGACGAAGGAAAGGGAAAGGGNTTTAGCCTCCCCCATGCTGCCCCCTCACGGGGTCCCAGTTCATGGTAGATAGAAGTGTTTTGTGTTTTCAACCGCACTTAGACTGACGTATTTTCATTGGTCAGCTGGTTAGCGCGGTCGATGCTAATAAAAAAAAAACACACACACACGCTTTGCATCAGTGGCTTCCTAGGTTCGAGCGAGGGCATTTGTGGAGCTATGGC